ATTCTGATTAATTTAAACCTAATGTCATCACCTCATTATTATGTTTATCTAATGAATAATTGTATTTCAATATATTTTTATCAAAATCAACCTTCCATACTCTAATTGAATAATCTTGACTTTTAGAAAATAGTAAATCCTCATTTGAATTCAATGTAATCCTTCTTACAAATAATTTATGCTCTTTATAAGGTTATGAATTAATCCAATTAATTGAGCCCAATTATTTTCAGCATCTTATTTTATTGTCACCTGCAGCAAACGAATTCTATTTCTTACTAATATTAAACACTTAGTTGAATCATTATGTCCTTACAATTTTGTTTGTAATTTAATTGTTCCATTTAGAGAGCTCCATACTTTAATTTTTTTCAATTAAGTTGATACGATAATTGACCCATAAGAATCAAAAACTATTGCCCAGCATCTCTCAATCTATAACAGATTTATCAATTAACTTTAATTTGATTTCATCTTCTTATAAATTTTTTTATTTAATTGGTTTTATTTAATAATCCTTGTCTAATCATTATTATCAGTCCTTTTGTGAAAATTTCCAAGAATCAAATTTTAAATTTCACGAGACTTCTTACATTGATTATATTCTAACAATTAATTAAAGTATTCCAATATAGGAAGAATATTTATAAGTTGCCATCAGTTTTTTTTTATTTTAAGAACATCGTTTCTAATTCATCATAAAAACTACATTCCATCATTATCGTATTTAATTAGTTAAATTATTGGATTACAAATGATTGCCTTGAACAAACTATATTGTAGAAAAAATTACAATTAAAAAAAGGAACTTTATTAGGGTCTCGCTCTTTATAATGAATTATTGAGCCTGTGATGCAAAATCATTACTTGCCTCACAGGCTCTTTGATTGAATTAAATTACGGATTATAATGTTAATTTACCTCTTATAATCTTGTGTGAATTCAATAAAAGTATTTTTGTATTAAATAAATATGATTGTGTGAATCTGTCTAATTCGAATTGATTTTCCGAATATTTAACATATTTACTTCTCACTTTAATCAAATATTAGTATCTTCTACCCTAATTTTAGATCAAATATATAATATTTTATTGTGATTCTCTATAATATATGTTATTCTAAATGATATACAGAAAGCATGAAAATGTAATTAAAAATCTCTCTAAATCTATTTATGTCACAGCTTTCCTAACTCTTCCATTATATCAATGGTTTCTATGATTAAAATTTATTATCACCCATTTAAAACTTTTCTTATGAAACTCCCTATCCTACAATCCGATCCTTTCAAGATGGCTTATGTTTGATCTTGTGAATTTATCATTATTCTGTAACTATATATTAATAATATATATATAGACTCAATAATATATCTATAGAATTTCTGAAATTTAATTATCCTCTTTCTAGATTTCTTTTAAGGCCAATTCTCATCTGAATACATAATTATTTATTTAAATTCAAAAATGAGCCCTTTGTATCACCACAAACCATTAGTACATTTAAATAATATTCTGTATTATTTAGATGTTTTATCTGATTTGGGTATTGCAAATAAAATTTTACTCTTCCATTTTCTTATAAAATATATAATTTCAGCATATATAATTAATCCCAAAAATTTAGAGAAGCTCTGGATTGATTTGATAATATGTAAAATTGCAAGTTTCAATAACTTTTGTAAATTCATTAATTTTTCATGATATTGTTTGCATTTCAATAAAATAAAATACAAATAAATAGGATATGAATATAATCGACCATCAAAATGGCCTTAATGAATTGAGAATGAAATAGTATAAACTAAATACTTAAAATTTATCTCGAACTTAAATTAAAGGAAACAAATATTTATAAGAAAATTTTTAAATGTGATAAATTAATGGCATGAGAAGAAAAATTACTTTGCTAAGTGATCATGCTTATAAATAATCTATCATCATTACTTAAAATATTCATAATTATAAAAATATTCATTCGAACTTGAAAACTACTGTTTGTCTCAAAAATAGATATTTATTCTTTTTAATTGTGAGATAATGTGAACATATTATTATCAATAAAGCATTCCCGATACCCAAATTATTAAATTGTAATATTTTCTATTACAAACCATTCATTATTTATCTTTGTTGTTCTATTATTAATATTAATTTATCATAACTACAAGATACCACTCAATTTTATTATACATTAAAACTTAATCCATATATAGAATTTAGAATGATCTTTTATTGTTTACTAAAATATTCATTCTGTATTTTTAATCCAAAAATTAATAGTATTATCACTACTTCCTGATATCATTAAATCTTCATTATTATTTAATATTAAACAATAGACATAACCAATATGGCTAATAAATAATTATTTGGTAATCAATTAATTATATTAATTTTATTACCATATAATGATAGTTTTATCTGCAGATATAAATTAATTTGATTTGTCATGAAGTTTAGTGTTTATAAATCTTTCTAATGTTCACTTAAAAGTTAAGTTTGTTTTATCCTTCCAGATTGAATTTAAATAATTGAATTTTTGAATTACATCCTATTAATAATGATGAAAAATCATGATTGATAGCTATTGCGAAACAATAATCATTTTATGATATAGAATATTCTGGGATTAATTGATAATTGAATGGTTTCTCATGCGATTGATAACTGAGTTTATATTATTTCTTATTTTAAGTGCTCTTCTAGAATATTCATTTTTTTTTTCGTTATTCATTTAAAGATTAATCTTTGAGCTTACTTAAATTGTTAATATTAGGTTTGATTAATGATATTATGTCTTGAGAAAATAATTTCTCAAAGTTTAACAGTTCTAATTTATTTTAAGGGCTATTTTAGGTTGTGTACAGATGATTATATTTTAATAATGAATATTTAAAGAATCAGAAGTATCATTTAAAAGTGAATCTAAAAAAGTGTGAATTTTGTTGAATGAAGACTATGCTATGATTTGCTATACTGATAAATGCAATAGAAACAAATTAATTGAAATAATAATTACATTATTTATTTATTTTTCCTTATAATTCATTCTTTATAGCATAAATAAGTCCAAATATTTACAAATACTTCCTGTACAAAATTTTATATCAGGATTGCTTAGGACCTATATAATCAATTTAGTATTAAATTCATCTATAAAATACTATAACAAGATATCTTTTGGATACAGTACAATATTAATAATTTAAATACTCTTAAGCCCTTATTTTCAAAAAATCCGATCAGTTGTTAAACAGTGTATTTCCTTCCAATTATTTTTTTACCTATTTCTAAAATACTCCTTAAATTACTTTATATTTGATTTCGAATTACTCATCAAATCTATTTCAACTTTTTATTCTCCTTCTTTTCTGTAAACTTTACATCCATTTTAATATACCCACATATTATTGTAATAAGTCATTTTTATTTATTCTATATTATATTATAATCAATATTGAATTAGTCATTGATTAGCAGAATTTTATAGAGTTCCAGATAAATTATTTATTAGATTATGATATTCATAAGCTAGGTTTGCAGGATAGTGTTAATGTGAAATACAAAAAGCCCATATTTTGTTATTAAATGTGCAAACTTCCACAAAATAATATCATTTTAAGGCTTAGAAGATTCAGAATTATTTGGAAACTATCTCAAGGTTATGTGTTTCTTAAAATTTTGCTTAATAGAAGTTTGAGTAAATTTAATCTTATAAAAAGGACTCAAACTTTTGAAGTGATAAGAACTAATATTGATTAAGGGTGGTTGAATAATGTTAATATAAGCCTTTATTGTTAGATTTTTTGGAATTTTTAATAATTTTGAAGATATGATTCAATATAAATGGTGGAGTTTTATTAGAATCAAATAATTTAATTAACATGTATTTTTTTATTAAAATTCACTTTATCATCACTTTAATATTTTATTTTATCAATATTGTTAGCTTATTAAATATATTTATTAATAAACTGTTAATTTACAATTAGTAAGTTCTATTTAATAAATTATAATTATTATATAATATATTTTTTATAATTAAAATAGATTTATTACTTTATGAAAAAAATAAGAAATTAGGAATGTGATAATTTATTATTAAATTAATGTTTATTTTAGTTCCTTATAAAATTTTTAAAGATTTATTAGCTTAAAGAAAAAGCTCCAGAGTAAGGGGTAAAAAGAATTAATATACTCCGATTCACATCCTTAATAACTATTAATAATCGAATTTATACCTACTGAATGATTTACATTTATAGAATTAAAACTGGAATTAGAACGAAAATAATTAAAAATTTATCAATAATTTCATTTTCAAAGCTATCAGAAGTAGTTAATTTATTACAATCATTGGCATTATACCATAACTTGGATCGATATCCAAACAAATGCAACGTTTAGTGAACACTTATTTAAATTTTTTTTGACAAAAATGAACTTAACCTATCTAAAAAATTGTTATTAATTGTTAAGATATTGAGCTTTTTATCTTCTGTAAAATTTGATTTATTAATTAAATATCTTAAAATACAATAATATTTACACAACGAGACGTATAATTCTTATTTCCACTGTACTGAATATAAGTCTCTACTTGGAGTCAGTGCTGCCAATGACTATAATCTAGTATGACTTAGATTTAAATATCCAATTGCCACAGTATTTAATACTTAGTAATACTGTAGGAAATAGAAGCATAAGCTATGAAGAATACTAATACTAACAAATATATAAATTTTGATATATCTTAGGTAAACATTTATTTATTATACTATTTAACATTAATCACAATATGCACCTATTCAAATCAATTAAAATATAGAAATGAGAAATCATTTTGTTATTATTACCTATTCATTTCATCATTAAAAGGATATTGGTAGTCAAATCAAATTCTCTCTAATCATTAATAATTGTTCTAATTAACATCTATGAATAATTTCTTTAATACCATATTTTAAAGATTAATGGAGATTTTGGCTAGTATAAAAACACTTAATAAAATTTGAAGAAAAATGTATCTATTTGGAAAACGGATAGATAAAAGTCAAATATTTCGAGGCTCTTGTGAGAGAAAAACAGGAATTCATAAATGAGTGAGTCGATGCATAAAAAGATTTTTAGAAAAAAGCTACGTTAATTTAAACTTTATACTTAAAAAGCTTTGGTTAAGAATTTTATTGGATTTCTTTGGAATCAAAATACAGCAAAATATTGCATACACTATATAAGAACAAGATTTACACGAATTTTTACTAAGCCAAGTGAGGGATAATAAATGTTTAATTATATCAAATAAATAAGTTATCAGTTAAGAGTTATGGAATTAATTAAGAGCTCAATCCTCTGGACAAAGAGCATTTATTACAAAAATTCATTTATTATTAATAAGAGAAATGATTAATGAACGATATAGAAGATATTTGGATGTTTTAAAAGCAATAATCTTTATTGGACGAAATGAATATTAAAAATAGTATCTGAATGAAAACGAATAACAAAAAGTTACAGCAAATAGTAGGATAAAAAAATACTCAAATACCAATTACAATTTGAAAATCAAATTTAAACTTAGTTGGAAAATTAATGTATATTTGTAATAAACTAAAATGCCTTATAAGGGTCTAATTTTTTCTAAAAAAAGTATCACCTACTTGAATGCCTTTAGATGCTTCATTTGTAATTTAAATAAAAATACTATAAGTTTCAATTATTTAAGTTCCCATAAAATCAAATTTTACATGTTTAATAGTGAATATTTCTATAATTAATAAAAACTGCAATTAATTTAATAATATGATTTCTTAAACATAAAATTAATAAGAATATTTAGATTCTATGAATTGGAATATTGGCACTAAATTAATTGAAGTTAACAAGTGGGATTCAAACAAATAGAGACTTGTTAAGGCAAAAATTCATGTTACATTCACCTAAAAAAATTTAATCATTTACTCATTTGATGGAGTAATTTAAAGAAAGTAAAAATATAATTTTTTCATTTTATAAGGGAATAAGTTAAGGAAATTTGCAAGAATCCAATAGTTTTGACTAATATGGAATAAATCTAATATTTTCAATGGCAAGGTAAATATGGACAGGAGAAAAGAAAATAGGGGAAATGGACAGTTACTTGGGATGGTTAGGCTCTTCTAGAAGTTGGTGGATACTACATGGATGGATTAAAAGAAGGTTTATGGACTGAGCCAAATAAGAATTACTGGAGGTAAATTAATTAATTAATCAATAAATAGTAAAGCTTAAGTATACGAAAGAGGAGAATATTTTCAACAGTAAAAATGTGGGAAATGGAAATATATCTATAATAACAACGTTATGTAGCATTATTAAAAAATTGAATTAGTGGTTGCGGATCATATAATGAATAATTTTAGAAAAATGGTAAATGGATTGAGTTGTCGGATAGTTTTTCTGACGATTCAAGAGTTATTTATAATGGCGAATATAAGAATGGGAAAAAAATTGGTAGATGGGATATTTGTTATACAAAATATAGCAGCTATCCATTTTT